GATTGGGCAATTTACAAGAACGAGCCAAATAGCTCTCCCAGATTTTCCCCCGCGGATAAAGGCTGCCTCTATGACCATAGATGAGCCCTGGCACGTCAAGTTGATCGATGCAGAAACGGGTTCACTTCTAATAAACAAGGAGAAGCGCAGATATGCTTTTTGTCCGCTTATTAGGAAGGAGAGAAGTTTACATGTACGTGCGTGCGACGAGAAACGATTTGGTGCTGAACCTTTGGGATTACTTTGCGCCGAAACGATTCGGAATTGGCGTAGAGGTAGGTGTATAGCAGCTACTGCAATTTAAGGTGTAATTTCTTGTTGCTGGTCAACACTGGACACCAGAGTGACAAACGTGGTCCGGGCTCAAGCGGCCTGGTTCGATGTTATAGTTTGTAGCGGCGGGGATACAGTTGGAGCAGCAATTTGTCTCGACGCAAGCCGACTACGGCGCCCTGAACCCCAAAAAGAACTCTAATGCTTACATGTGATGATAGTATGAACCCGAGGGGCTAGCAAATGCATTATTTCAAGACAGGGCAGAAGATCGAAGTCGGGAGGTTGGCGTCACAAACCGTGCGCAACCAGAAAATGGTTTTGCCGTGACCACGGTTGAGGGTTAGGTTTGGCGTTTGATATGCGGGGCCGTCAAAGTAGAATACTGATTTTCACGGTTTGGATTGTGGAAAGTGAAACTGGCAGGCCGGAGGCGGGATCGTGAAGCGCGTCAAATTTTCAAGTCCGCCATATTGCTGCAGAGGTTTTAGGTTTCCAGAGCCTCCCACCGGCTTAGATTGGTCGTGTGGAGAGTCTGGTACTGAATTTTTCGCACAAACATTCCATTTCCGTTCAGGCCTGATAAAAATCCGTTCCTGTTCGGCCGGAAGCCTTGCTCCACATTCATTCCAGGCGGCTCTCACCCATATCGCTGAACCGCAAAGATTGCTTTGGTTGTTCACGCATTCACCGCAAAACCCTGAACCGCAAACCCTTGCTCTTTAGGGCTGGTTCCTCTTCGCGAATTTTCTGGCCGATGCGCCGTCAAAGCTCGGGGGGTGGAACATTTTATTATCTTCAGTTTGTTGGGCATGCAATTTTCTGGATTCCTGTGAGTGTCGCCCTGATGTGAGCTTCTAGTTGACTTGTGTTGTGTGTAGTCGAGTCGAACCGAGAGACCTTGCCTGGCGGAGTCCGAGTTGCGGGATCGTAAACCCGAAGCCCCCCTGAACGTGACACAGAAGCCCGAATAACTACCAACATCATTCCTGAGGGCTCATTACTCCAATGACGCAATAATATGCCCCACAGCAAGATTCTAAAAGATTAAGGCGCCAATACTAGATCTGTGTGGATCGAGCGGCGTCGCTCAGGACGGGCGTTTGAGCTTCGAGGGTTCGTTCGTGGCTACTGGGCCGTCCACGGGAATATCCTGTGTCTGCGCCACAATCTACTTTGTTAGGGTTTAAGTGCTTGCTTGAATTACGTTTTCCCCTGGATCCAGGCAAGGGGTTGTAGTTTACGGGGTTTAGGTCAGGACTTGCTTCTTCGCGGCATGATCGATTCGAGTCCGTGTGAGAGAGAGAGGTCAGGACGAGATGTATAGCCGTAAGCGGTTTCACCGCTTCCGTCATCGCAGCCAGCCCTAAGCCCTAAATTCAAAATTCGACATGATTCAACGCATCGAGTTTCGAGTTTTTGGGTTCGGGTTGTTTTATCGTCCTGCATGGATGGCTCGGGGGTTTTAAGGTTTTAGGTTTGATGACTCTCGTCAACCCTGCAATAGCTCAAAACAAGATTTCGTCTTACACACAAACCCAAGAAATAGCACCAGGAAATGAGATCGGAGTTGGGCTCCAAGGGCAGCCAGTCAGGAGTGATATGAGTCAGCGTGAGAGTGGGTCTTGAGCCGTATCTTTTCATGACACTAAGGAGACCAGTGCCCGATATATAGAGCCCAATTTGGCGGCCCAATAGCAGTGATCAAGCCAAATAAACTCGCGGCCTTGGCTGGGAGAACGGTCTGCAAACACCAAATTTCCTAAGCAGGAGCACAAATAAGCACCAGAAAAGCTTAAAACAAGCAGCAGAAATAGCACGCAACAGGAGTTTTGAGCACCAGGAAATCTGATCGGACCCTGAGACAAACCCGATGCCGATCTGACGTTCCAGCCCCACGCCAGGGATCAGACAGCACAAAAACCCACAAATTCATAAGCACAAGCAGAAGTTTACCACCAGGAAAACACAAAAACACACAAGCTCCCAAACAGAAGCAGAAGTTTTGGCAGCATAACAGCAACAAACAACACAAGCCCCAAACAACAAGCAGAAGTCTTAGCGCCAGAAGACACAAAAAAGCCCACTCCCCCAAGCACAAGCAGAGGTTGTAGCACCAGAAAAGCACAAACGCAAAAAAAACACAAACTCCCAAACACAAGTAGAAGTTGCAGCACCAGGAAAGCACAATCGCAAAAGCACAAACTCCGCACCAGAAATAGCACGAGACACGAGTTTAGTTCACCAGGAAAGCAGATCGGACTCGACGCACTTCCCGTGCCAATCTAACACAAGGGCTTGTTCTCAGAGCTTGTCGGAGTCCTAGGAGAGTTCTTGGTTGGGGTTTGGCGTTGAGGGGCAGTTGAAACGCTGTTTTTTCTCCTGGACCTCATGCGAGAAGCCACCTCTTCGACCACAAGTGACACTGGTTTGAGCAAGTTCTACACAAAAAGTATTGGAGGTTAAGGCTGCAGTTTAACAATTGCCTTCGCTGGGGCTATGGGTGCGTAACCTTCAACCCTCAACCCTTATCTCGAAACCCTACAGCCGTAAGCCTCAGCCCTTACCTTTTTGACCCCAAATCCTGAACCCTTTAATTGAGTGCAGGAATTGATCAGTCCTCCGCCCTGTGGCGCCTGTGGCGCCTGTGCCGCTGAACCAGGAGTGGCGTGCGGCAAGGCTTGAAAGCTCCTTAGGGTTTAGGGCCCTCAGGACAGTTCGTGGTTGGAGGATTGCAGCTCAAGGTTTGGGGTTTAGGGTTCGCAGCTCCGATGTCTTCTGGACTTTGAGCTTTTTTGCAGATGGATTGGGCTTCTGTGCTGAGCCATACTCGTCCTTGATTGTTCAGCTTGGCGCGTGGAGGGTTGTGGTGCAGTTCAGGGTTGTGGAGTTTGTGTTCAGGGCATTATCATGCCTGAAAATTCATATCCCATAGTACACCCCAAAGCCCAATTCTAGCCATGAAGGCCCTATATTGCCTGGAAATAAGGATGAGCGTTTCCGGGGGTGACGTGGCTAAACTCTGCCCTGCACAAAGCAGGTTCTGATTGGTGAATGTAGACCCCTTGATCGAGAAAACAGGTTCCTTTAAGTTTCTTTAAGGTCCTTGATATAACCCTTTTCAAGGTAGGGGGTTCCAAGATACTACCACTTAAGGATGTTGGGGTCATTATCTATGAAGATACGATCATTTATGGCCTAGTAATCAGAGTAGCTTGTTTTATCGTTACATAGTTATGGCAGAATGCACTCCATGACCCTAGCATATAGTAGTATGCCAGTATGCCTGTACAAGTCCTTATATAGTTGTACAATATTATGCCCCGAAAGCTCTCTTCCCACTATCGGGGCTCCTGCGTTACGCCATCCCGCGAACCCGGGCTTGTCCAGGATTGCGGAAAGGAGCGCAAACTAGGCCGCATCGTAAAAGCCTTTACGGTCAGGGTTTAGGGTTTAGGGTTATGCGCGCCTTGCGCATCTCGCCACGAGTGCGATGTGCTGCGGGGGATCTGGCCGGGCGAGCTCAGTTCAAGCCTGTGGAAAAAGGGTTATACAATTCCCCATCATTCCTTGCGCTTCGTCGGCACGAGCCGGTGCATCTCACAATACTGCTGACTGCTACGGCGCACCCGGGCCAGCCAGCCGCACATGCCAGGAATCTTGCGAGCACCCTTGTCGCCCTCTTTTAACGCCATTTTTCTTAGGTTGTTTGCGTCAGTTGGCGCAAGGCGCCAGAAGCCGGGAGCAAACCCAGCACCGCAGAGCCTCAGTTTTCAGATGGTTCGAGGTTGGGGAACCATAGTTACTACCCTGGTTGCAGCCAGTGTGAGAGCCTATGAGAGCTCCAATAAACGTCGAGTTCGGGCCAGGCCTTCTCAGCGCGGGCTGCCGGACCCCAACGAATGAGCTGGAGAGTTGAAAAGAGGCATCCGCGAGTGCAGCATCGTGAGCCATTTTTGTACGGAGAGCACTGCGGAGCTTCGTTTGCCTGAGTTTCTTGTTGTCTATAAATGAAGCATGTATCTGTCCAGCCTTTCTCAGATTCTCTGTCAAGTTGGGTCTTGCATGCAGAACATGCCCACGAACTACATGTGTAAGGAGATCGGGCCGGTCTGCCAAGCAAGTGGCAGTCTTTCGGATTGATCTGATTTTGCTGCATCGCCTTGTTTTTCCAGCGTGTTTGGCTCTATCGACCGTGCTCAGAAATCTCGTCCGCCGAAGCATCCGTTGAAGGACCCTGGGCCGAAGTTCTGGTATTGAGGAAGGACTTCACTCGGCTTCAGCCGGTAACCTCACAGCATAAAGAAACCATAGACTCCACAGGGGTGTTCGGCCTGGGAGGGAGGAGAGCACCTCATATGACTGTGTCGTGATGTGTTGTCATGTTTTTGCCACGGTGTGTGTGTGTGTGTTCTGCTGGGCAGGACCACGCAACACGATGCTGTCCACTGTTACGCGCCGGCTCTCCATGCAGGTGGCTTTGCTCATGGCTTTCTGCAGAAGCGCGAATGGCATTTGCAAAGCACTTTGTGCTTGTTCGGTTGTTCATCCTGCAGCGTTCAGGTTTACAGCAAAACCGGGTATGCACCCGACCATAGTGATGAAAACAACAGTCCACGACATTCCGTGATCGGATCTGGGGCAGTTTCCAGATAGGCAGATAGGCTGATTCGGAACAGGCGGGGAAGTAAAGAGAAGCTAGCCGGCTGTGCCAGCAATGGTGCCGCATGCCGGTGCCACCTCACCGTCCGCGGTCAGAGTCGAAGACTGGTCTGCGGCCAGCGGCAAAGCCTCCCAGCAACTCGGCCGCTTTAAGATTCCAGGTTTCCGCGGTGTTTTTTTCTTGGCTTGAGATATAAGACTTACGCAGGTGCCGGTGTGGGCGTCGGCAAAAGCAGCGGTAGAAGTGGCAGCAGAGCGCGCTCGAATAGCAGAGCTGACCTGCGACCGGAGGTGCCGGATACACCTGCAGTCCCTACACCTAGCCGCCAAAGTCTCCAGAGTGAGGCAGAGATTGACGGCGAAGTTGCCCGACTGCGTGCAGAGAATGATCGCCTGCGCCAGCTACTGGAGAAGGGTGATGGTGCTCCCTGGACATCAGTGTTGTTCCTGGAGCTTGAACGGGAAAGCTATGAGCAGCAGCGCATCCTCTGCTTGAAGCGGGAGCTGTGCATGGCACTTCAGCGGCGACGCAGACTAGAGCAAGCCGTCCGTGCTGGGCATGCCAGCCTGGAGCGTGCACTTTATGGTGCGTTGAGTCAAGAGGGGGCATCCTTGCAGACTCTGGAGCAAGCCTTCGTAGATGGTACGGCTGCAGCTGAGTCTGATCTTGCAGAGGAGGCGATGCTCTTAGACGCAGACGCCGCGCCCAAGCAACCTGGGCGACGTGCCCCAAGCCCAGCACACACACCGAGCTCGGCTTCTGCAGCAGGTCCAGCGAAGGCCACGTCTTCACGAAGACTCTGGGAAGCTGCAGAGATTTACCAGCTTGAGCAAGCTGTGTTCCAGGCGGCTTCTTCACTGATGGCCTTTGCGGAGGCCTCCGGCGAAGCCTGGGCCGATCAGCTGGCTGCTCGACTTCAGACACTGAGCTGGCAGCTGCTCCGAGCCCGGGAGCTCCCTGTCACGAGTGCAGACGTGGATGCATCGACTGCTGCAGTTCGCAGAAGGCTTTGGAGATTCATGGCTGGCCGTCCACTGGCAAAGTGCAGAGATCAGCCATCAGAAGGTGTTCTTTCTGGCCCCGATGTGACTTGATTGCCAGCCTGACCTCCCCTTCCCATCCTTCGCTTTCTGATTCTGTGCAGCTCTGCCATGTAGTTGCTCATGCTGCCTGCCTCAGATGGTTGCCACTCCAGTTCGGCTACCACTGTGTTTGCTCCGCGCTCTGCAAGACATGGTTGAGGCCGGGCACGAGTGGGAATGCGATGATTCAAGTCAGAATTCCAGCATCCTTCTATTTCATAGCTATCTTTCCCGAGCTCCGAAGTGCCAGCATACCCTGCGGCCACGACTAGATGCAGAAATCCTCGTTCCACGGCCTGAACGCCAGCTTACACACCTGCCCACACTCGAAAAAGCCATAACGCGATGACTGCAATCGTGACGACGAGACTCCTGCAGCACCACTTCGATGGTATCAGAGCTTCTCTGCCCTCTTATGATTATGCAGGTCGCGAGCGGTGAGAAGGAGCTGCGGACAGAGGTGGAGCAAGCAGTTGCGAGCATGCTGGAGCTGGCGGAGCCTTGGCTTGCCAAAGTGGTACAATGAAGAAAGAAATCGAATCAGCTTCTGATGCTTGTAAAGGATCTAGGCGATCTATGGGACCGCATCATCGTTCGCTGCACTCCGTCCCATCCTGTCGCGAAGGTGCAATGGGCAACAGCTGTTCTGTCTGCTCGTGCGGTTGCTGGTGCTGCTCATGGTGGGTCACGTGTCGCACGGGTCTCGGAGCTTGTGCTTGCAAAGGAACACCTCAGCAAACTCAGAAGTCCCGAGCCAAACTCTGCTCGAGGCCGCAGATGCTCGCCGTGAAGTTACGAGCTCGGCAAGACAAAACAAGCATCACCTGCACCTTTGCAGCGCTCCGGCTTCTAGACAAGTGGTGGGTTTGAAGCCTGTGACATTGCATCCTGTTGCTCGTGGCCCATCTGCATAAATGTGGCTACTGCAGTGTGCAGTTCATCTCAGTTCTTGTGGGAGTGCAGCTCTGTACACGCAGTGCTTCTACGGGGAGGTCCCAGCTGCGATTCGGTTTGCCACAGGTGGCTCGCCCCGCGGCTGCGCTCGCCCCAGCCGGCCTGCGCTTCCACTGCCAGGCACCTTGGGCAGCACAGAAGTTGTTGATGCATGCGAGAGAGAGACTTGCAAGGGGTATACGCTTGCTTTCTTGCTCTGTTCCTTGCTCTCTTGCTTGCTTGCCTGCTTGCCTGCTTGCTTGCTTGCTTGCTTGCACGAGGTATCGGGGTACATAAGCATATGTATAGTATACATGTACATAGTTGACATGGTTTGCAATAATGTGTATGTATGTATTTGTGTGTGTGTGCGCGTGTGTGTGTGTGTGCATATGCATGTGTGCGTGAGTGTATGTGTGTATGGATGTATGTATGTATGTATGTATGTATGTATGTATGTACGTAGCTGCATTTGTATGCGTGTGTGTGTGTAAGCACAAGAGACAAGCTTTACAGGTTATGGCTTGACAAATCGTATGGAAGTCCGACCATCTTTGAACAGGTGCCGTGTGGAATTTTCACGGACGAGCTCCGTGTGCAGGCAATGATGGAGGCGGGGAGCCTTTGTGCTTAAAGAAGTCAGCGTCTTCGATTCTTGCATTGAAAGATTGCATATGATTGGGGTTATATTGGGCTGATTCATGGCTTGGGTTGTGGTAATACCATGCGTTACATCCTGTGAGCCTGAACGTATCTGAACAGTCCTTCCTGTCCTTGAAGTCGTCCTGGAAGTCTCCTATCTGACCGTGCAACGCCTTCGCCTGGCAGTCTTTGTGTGCGATGTCCTGCGAGGATGCTTCCACGATCCGCAAGGCCGTGGTGCAAGCCCAGGAGCTCCACAAGGCAAGCCCCCTTTCTCTGTAGAAGGGCAGATGAGAAGCTGAGATCATCTACTCAATGCGACTCCCCATCCAGAAACACGATGAGACCATGGGATCAAGGCTGTTCTTGAGAAAGCGGTGCCAGGCAGGCGGCTTGCAGGACGTGCACCAGCCTGCACCTCAAATTTTCGTGTGGCAGTGCGACGTGCAGTGCCTCTTGGTAACTGCAAACCGAGGTCCTGGTGATGGTGATTTCTAAAGTGAAAATTGCCTTAATCCACAGCGTCTTCCAAAGAAAGTGGCCCCTAATAGGTATGAAGCAACAGGGATGCATCAATGGGGCGCTGTGCAGGATGGTGCGCTGGATTACCACGAAGGAGGATCACGCCCAGAAGATCATGACGACCACAGTACCTGGGCAGCAACACGGTCGCCTGTGAGTTTGCGATGCTTCGTGTCAAACGCTTCCTAATACAAAATGCTGGACAGGCCGACTACTTCCTTGCACAGAAGGCAGGGTCCCCAGAACCGAACCCTCTGAACGGCGCGAGGTTCCAAGCAGCCGGGCTGAACAGGTTAAGAAGGCAGACCTCAGCGAAGACGACTATCTCAAGCGACTTGCGCTTCACCATGATGTCATGGTCGGGACCCGAAGTCTGCTTTGCTCGTGCGAGTTGCGAGTGTGGAAACCTGAAACCTTGCACCGTGAGCCGGGATTCATGGCCTAATTAGGGGGTGTGGGCTCTTCTGAGCTTGTGCAGCCTTCCCTGTCTCCCTGTCCGTGCCCCCTGGCAGAGGTCGCCGCCATGAAGGCCAAGCAGTCTTCGGAGCTTGGCCCCGTTGACACCTTGGACAAGGCCATTGAGGCCCGCGCCCAGCTGGCTGGGGGTGACTTGGGGAGCACTTGGGGCTCTGTCAGACCGGTTAGGCTCGGCTTATGTGAGAGTTTCCGAAAATAGGGGGGTACCTTATTTTGGGGTTCTTATGATAAGGATCCTACTATTTAGGGTGCTATATTAGGGTCCCCTATTTTCGGAACCCCCCATGTAGAGAAAGTCTTGGTGTCGCCCCGGCAGGCCCTGGCGCCGATCTACAAGAAGTGAGCCCGAGCCTTTCCAAAGCTGGATGTGGCGGAGCATGGCGCAGCCACGTGCGCTGCCACATATCTGCCTCTTTTAAGCGACAGCACTGCCTCCAGACCTTAAATTTGAAGCCTTCGGTTTTGAACCCGCCTCATCACGACTTGCAGAGCAAGAAAGGTGAGTCTGAGTTGCCAGTTCGTGTCTTGAATCGTGTTGGAGCTCCCCGCCGCAGCAAGCTGTAGCATATGGAACGAAGCAAAGACAAGCGATGACACCTTCTAGCTTTAAACCTCCTCAGTGCATGCACTGGAGATATCCATAGATGCCTGAATTCGGAGATAGCAAGGAATGTCAAATTAAGTCCAGACAGCTGCAGAGCCTCGTGCTGAAGAGGGTAGCCAGCAAGATGGATGGCAGCAGGGGGTCAGCATGATGAGGACATCTGGCGGAGTGTGTTTGAAGATAGCATCGATGCCTGTGGAGATCATTTGTTCAGGGGCCAGATGTTCGTCGCAGTCGCACTGGCACGGCGCTGAGTACTACTGCTTGCAATTGTAGTTTACGGCTTGTGGCACCTCCAGACTTAAACCTTCGTTGTACCGGCCCCCGTATCTCCGGCAGGAGATGCGGAATGAAGAAGCACGGTGCCACGGGCGACGAGCGTGAGAGGTTTCCCAGAGGCCTTGGAGGATGCACTTCTACGGCCACGCGCTCGTTCAAACTCAGAGCAGGCAGCCGCAGTCGGCGCACAGGCGAATGCTCGGGTCTTGAAAGCTGCTTCCAGAGAGTGCCAGGCGAAACTAAGCCAATCTCATGCACAGTGCCTTGCCAGCCTTGCCCGATCCTCGGCCAAATCGGGCATTCAGGGTGCACTGCTGATGCGAGGCATAGCAGCTGAAGCCCTTGAAAAGATCAACGAGCAAACGATGCAGGGCCTCTCAAACCTGGCTTAAGCCTGGGCTACCCCGGGAACCCAAGACCATGTCACGATGAAGGCAGCTGCAAGGCGTTCGCTGCAAATTCCGAAGCTAGAGCCACAGAGCTTGGCCAACTTGGTGCAGGCGCTTTGCACAGTCTTATCCTTCGATTCGACCTTCTTCGGGGCCGTTGCCGAGTCGGCACTTCGTGACTTGTCTTAGCCCTCACCACAAAATTTGGCAAACGCTGGCCGGACCTTCGGCAACCTGGGTCGCGTTGGCCTTCCGCCGACGAGCGCGGCCGGCTGCACGGCCATCCCTCAGATCCGCGACTTCCCCGCCCGGGGCTTGGCAAACTTGGTCTGAGCGCTTACCAGCAGCATGGCAGTGGATCGTCCTCTGACGGAGGCGGTGGCCAGGGCAGCATGTACCATTTCTCACACGTCCACGCCACAGAATATCTCAAACACGGCATGGAGGTTCGGGACACTGGTGGCTGCTGACCAGCCATTGTCGAAGGCCCCCGGTATGCAGGCAGTCTCATGCGGTCTTGAGCTCCAGCCGCAGGATTCGTCTAACAGAGTGTGGGAGATGGCCAACCCCGTGCATTGACATGTGGCTACGTTGGAAGTTGCCGCATCTGTCGCCGTTCGCTGCATACCCTCACCCAAACCGCAAGATGCTGGCAACACTGCGCGGGCCTTTGGCAAGCCTGTGTCCTTCCACGATTCGTTTTCTTCGGTGCCAGCTACCTCCGCAGCTGTGAATTTTCGCAGCTTCCCTCCACAGAATTTGGCCAACACTGGCCGGAGGTTCAGAATGCTGCTGATTGCGAGCGTGCCTGCCATGCACACGATCGTTGCCGCAGCAATGCCGAAGCTCGCAGCTCTCAATTCGCAGCACTCAGCACACATGTTTTGGTCGTTTGGATCCTCAGCTGTTATTGCACGATCTTTTCTCGAGGCTCCAGCCGAGCATGCAATCAAAAGCGCGTTTGATTCCAACTGCCAAGAGCTAGCAAACAGCGTGCGGGAGTGCGCCAAGCTGGCTTTTGTCAATGAGCAACTGTTGGGTGCAACCATGCAGGCTGGCGGGCTGAGAATTCCAGATTCTGTGCCACAGGACTTTGCCAATGTTTCTCGGGAGCTATGCAAGACAAGCCACATCGATGTACCGACAACGAGTGCGACGGCGTCTTTGTCACTGCAGCGGGTTCACGAGTCCAACGCCCAGGATTTGGCGAATGCAGTGCAGAGACTTGGCAATGCACAGTTCCGAAGCGTGCTGCTGATGCACTCCGCTGCGCATCATGCGGGTACACAGTGGTGCCGACTCGCTTGCCTGCGTAGGGCCGTTGAACTAGGCGATGCCCGCGATCACAATCAAATTCAATGTTCATCTCTTTTGGCTTGGCTGATGGCTGTTGTGGTCGTTGGTGATGTTGCGGGTTGATGCTGCTGCTGCTGCCTCTTCCTCTTAATTCGATCAGGCGATGCCTGTTGGTTGGGGTGCCAGCAGTAGTTGCTTCAGTCGTGATGCATCACGGCATGTGATATCCGCCGCTGTGTCAATATCTAGCCTATCCTTCTTTTCACGTGTGTGTCGTGGTGTTGTCCCTGGCTGGTTTGCTACAGCTTCGGTACATTACTCACGACGGTCTTTCCAAAAGCTTCAGAAGACGTGGTGCTAGGGCCATGTTCTTCTTCCTTGCTGTGCCTGCCTGCCCTTTCACTTTGGCTCAAATGCCAGGCTTGTCCCAGTTGCGAGTGCTGAAATGCCAGGATGGGCCAGTTTGAGGGCTCGGACTTTTCAAGCACGGCCTGGTCTTTCTCCACAATGGAGTCGACGTGCGAGGCGTGGCTTTGACCTGGGAGGGCTTTGATTTTGACAGGCAAGCGACAACAGCTTTCAGGCCAGGGTCAAAACATGGAGCAGGTCACAAACTCAAGTAGTTTTGCCATAGATTGCTACAGGTAGGACATAGGCACAAAAATCAAAGGTGTATGACCGCACGCACACAATCATTACAGTAATGATGCCAGTGCTCGTCGTCTTCCTTCCCATGGTGGGGAAGAGAGCAATATGGCATTTTCAGAAAATAGGAACCCATAGAAAGATCCTGCATTAAGGTCGGGTTTGGAGTTTTGCTTTCAAGTCGAGGCTAGGTCCTAGAGGGCTAGGTCTCTTACCAAGTGCACGTGTGCTTCTAACCCAAGAACCCGGATCCCGAAATTAGGGCCAACACCCTAAACCCAAATTTGAGCTCGTCCTGGCTAAGTGGGAGGCAAAAACTTTAGGAGCCCGGTAGAATCGTAGGATCGGCTCGGTAGTCAACAGCTTCCCTCAGGCTCTGTTCGAAGCTATCGCCGAGGAGGCCCATCAGCATCTCCCAGCTGTGGGCGGGCTCTATACGGGTTCGATAGAGGTTCCTATCATGTTGAGCGATTCCGATACGGGGGTCCTTATGTTCTATACTGGGGTCCCTTAATGAACTTGGTGCTTGAATCTCCCAATTTGTCAGGAAACTTGCCTATATTTGTATAGGGCTTCTTGCTACGATTCGCTCCAGTACATTCCTTAGTCATTCTTTGTAGGGCAGGGGCGCTTGGAGTCCAGGGACGATGGCTTCAGGCACATTGTCTGCTAATTGCTATCTGTGCTGTTCTCAGTATGTGCATTTTGCCGGTATTGCTGTTATTATCACATCGACTCTATCTCAATGTGAGACAGGTCTCCAGGAAGTTGGCTTCACTGGGCCCGCAGCAGCAGCTTTCCAGCAAGTGGTTCCCCCCTGCCCAAACCTCCAAGATGTGTGAAACACCAAAACCCAAGCCACCATCAGCACAATCAGAATTCAGCAGTCGCCGTCGCCGTCGCTACCCAACAGCAGTGAGCCGGTGTGGTTTTTGAAGTTCGAAGTGTCATGGCAGAGGAGGAGGGGGACTACTACTTCATGTGAGTTGTATTTTTGCTTTTCATTTTTCTTGGGTGTAGGCATAGTGGTGGTGGTCTGAGCACTTGGTAGAAAACCCGGTGGGTCACGCATCAGTGGATGCATTGCAGGCATCTAGGCTGGGTTAGTCAATGCTGCGGTTGGAACAGGATTAGCCACAAGATGGATGCCAAAATTGGAGTCCAGTTCACAGCAGCCAACGCTGGCAAAGTGGGGCGATGTTCGACTGGCTGTGAGTCTTTAGAAGCGCCTTTACCCTCGCGTTCTGGACTTGAATTTGGGCGTTGCCTGCGTTGCCAACTGAGTAAGGCTGTATGAATTGTCAATTGTCGGATCTTGTTCAGTTCAGTACCATGACTGTTGCAGCGCGGCAAAGCTCATGACTGTGATTTGTGCTTATTCTTGTGGGAGCGGCTTAGGTTGGGCACTCTGGCGGACCTGAACTTGCCCTGCCGGTGCCCAACATGCAACAGCGCACCTACAAATCGTACAGATTGCTTGTGAGTCAAGTGGATGTGTACAATCGACATGTGCTCACAGTTTTTGGGCTCGCAGAGGTCAGGGAGCAGTGGAGGAAGAGCTTCGGGCAGTGCTCTCAGGCGAACAGGAACGCGGGTTTAGCTATAGGCGACGATTTAGATTTTGTTGCCCCAGGGTTGAAACGTTTTGTGTAGGGCTCCACATAATATTTTCGACGGGTTGTCCTCGTCGCACGCTTTGGGTATGATTACGCACGTTCCTTTAGCCGAGCACCTTCTGTTTGGGGTCTTGGAAGGCGGCTATCCACAACTTTACTAATGAGCTGTCAAGGTGGCTGAACAGGATAGACTTGATAAGCGGGCCATACTTCTGTAGAAGTACAGATTAATCCATGGCTCATCGTGTAACCCAAATTTGACAGCAAGGTCATCATCCAGCAGTTTGCTCAAGACGTTCCCTCCTCGATGGACGGCTTCCGCTCCGGTCGGTACCAGAGCTTGGTGGAGGACACTTGTGAGATAAGGGGAGCAGCCTGCCTCATAAAGGGTCTATAGAGAGATGTAGAAACAACGTCCTTTCGGTTGCTGTATGCTACCGTAGTCCCAGTGCCGTGATGGGAGAGCCAGCAGAGCTCCTCTGTCGGGAGTCCAGACACTGCCGGCGGTCATTCAACTCCGTGCCTCAACAACCAAGACTGTCGCAATCTAGCATCATCTAGCATCGGACACTAGAACACTTCAGCTGTTATCTCCTCCTGTTGCCGGTGACACTTTCCGCGGCAGAGAGGACTTGGCAGTGGACAGCTTTGGCAGCTGGGGCGACCGGCTGCTGTTGGACCTCCTGGGAATCCCGGAGTGCACGTGGGAAGCTCACAACAGCTTGTCTTGCAACTATTGATTTGATGTCCGGGCGTCATGAGTGAGGCCGGACTTCCGGGAAAAGGTCCGGTGCCGAGTACCTTATGCAGTCGAGCCTAGGGTTCTAAGAGAAGCCCCGCCTTCAGCCGCATCTAGCCATTGCTGCAACTGGCCAGTACACTAAGTGCAACAAGAGCACTTGAAACAGACAGCGGTAACCACGATAATATCAGCTACATTTTTGGTATTGATAATGACAAGAGCGACAATGATCAGATAGTGTTGCTATGCTATCGTATACATGCAGGCAGGCAGGGTGGATGGATGAACATATGTATGTGTGATTGTGTATGCTGTAGGTATGTAGGTTTATGGGTATAGAGGTTGGATGCTGCCGGAAGATGTGAGGTTTCGGTGTCTGTTGGAAGCAGACTGCTGTGAGGACTTAACTCAATGCTGAACACGCTTAGTGAGAAAAGACAACATCACGGCAAACGCACAACAGCGGCCCCAATGACAACAATAGTAGCAAAGCATGCAGGTCTTCTGCCTCAGAAGGAGCCAGGTCAGCCTTTCATCTGGTGTTGCTTACGAAGTGGCTTCCAAGGGCGTCACGTCCCCTGCGCATCCCCACATGCCCCCTTGTTCTAGTGCTGCCTACACATCCTCGCACATCTCTTTCTGCCCTGTTGCGCACGGGCATAAGCCAGCGGGGGGGCATCACGGAAGACATCCCGATCCCCGCACATCCCTGCACATCCCATTTCCGTCGCTGCGGACAAGTCTTCCAGGTGCTGCCAGTGTGCTGCCCACCCGTGCCCTCTCCCGCACATGCTTCTTACGTGCTGTCCAAGGGCCTTCCGCACGTCTCGTTTTCCGCTTCCGCCCAAGGGCTTCCGTGATCCCCGCACATCCCCACAGAGCCCTGCACGCACATCCTTTTCCGCTTCTGCTTATAACGGGCCTCTGAGGTGCCGCTTAAGGGCCTTGTGTTTGACTTTCTTGTCGTCTGTTAGTTGTCGAGTAGCCTGTTTTCCTTCCTTGTCGGGGCTTAAGCTGTCGAGCGGGGGGAGGGGGCAGCCGGGGCCGCGACGAATTCCTATTGCCTTGTATGTAGAAATGGCTTTCACGTGTTTGGCATCATTGTATGTTGCATCTTGGCAAGTACATGACTCAAACTTGTCAGTGGTTGACTTCGTCACGGCGAGGCCACCAAACTCGCAGAAGAGTATCAGGAGCAACAGCAAAGCTGGTGGCGCAGCGCTTCTTGTCTACTTCAGTGCAGAGATCGCACGAACGAGGATGACCTATTCTGAGCAACGAGAATAGCGTTTTCGGTATGCAGGTGATCCAAGCTGCTTCCTGTCGCCTGTATCCAAGGAAGGTCTGCTACGCGCGCAAGTGCGGAGCTCGAGAGAGCAGTGCACAGAGGGCCAATGCACTTGACGGGCAGTCGCTGGTGGAGCCGCTTTCAGCGTAAGCTCACGTGTTCACGCTATGTTGGTCTGTTTCACAGCAAAAAGACGGCACAAGACGCACCCCAACAGGAGCAGAAAGCCTTTGCCAAGTCCTAGCAAGCAAGCTCCCACAGAGCCGCAGGCATATGTGTAGAGGCCCAGGCCTAGGCCTAGGCCTAAAATAGCAAGCGAGTGACTTCCTTGCCATTGCCGAAGCTATGGAAGCGCTGCGCTGTTACATGGAGGAGGCTCCGGGTGTGCTTGGTGTTCGAGCGGTTAAAGCTCACGTCACGTGGGAGTTGATTGCGACTCAAGGACGGCTATGTTTCGGCTCCGAGTTTGCACAAGAACCACGTAGACGTCAAGGTGCTGGAGCTGATCGAGGAGGCTGGTCGAAGACAGAGTTATGAGATGGCGGCTGCAGGGGATTGCATTTAACGTCTAGCTGGCCTGTCGGTGATGATGCCAATGAGGAGGCAAGACTCGTGAGAGTGGGAGAGAACGTGGGAGAACCAACGGCTGAAGATCAGGAGCTGGCACAGATGCGGCAGCAGGGTGATGACTTGCATCCACTCTGCATGCAGCCAGCCATGGAGACACTCCGTGCGTGTTATATGGAGGACCCAAGCACGAGTTCTTTTCTTTATGCATGGGCGGAGAAGGGGACTACTCGGAACTGGAGATCCAAAACAGAGACGGCTGTCCAGGACACCACGCCCCCGGCGCCTTTCGTTTCTGGCGACTGCTTGAATGTTTCACAGGCGACACAGTCTGAAGTGTCATGCGCTTGTTCTCAAGTGAGCGTCACCGCTTTTCTTCCTTCGCGTGTGGTAGCGACGTTGGTTCCCACCGGCGCAGGAGTTGTCGCGTGCAGCCAAGCACCGGCGCATCGACGAGAGACTTCAGCAGATGCAGGCGCACTCATTTGTTTTGGATTTCTGAGGCGTGGAGAGACACTTTCTAAAAAGGGGCCCGTTTTGAAGGGTTTGTTCGTTGCATACCCAAAATTTGTTCGGTCGGAATTCCACCATGTCTAGGAAAGAAGAAGTGACGAAATCCTCCACATTGCATCGCGTGAACTCGTGTTACAATCCCACGGAATTTTGGCAACCCACATGAAATCGGAACAGCGGGAAGCATGAAGGGGATGAAGGCAAGAAGGTCAACGAAGCGTGGTTTTGCATCATTGAAAGCTGCTTCTTCAGTTTTGTTTTCAATTGGCAAGGATAGAAGTGTACGGTGTAGGGGTTTAGGGTTCGCCTATTCGATTGCAATCACAACGCCGTTGAACGGTTTACACTCTCGCACCCGGACTCAATGATTAGCCCTCCTTTTAGGGTTTGGTCCAAACATATGCTTGTCTTGGGGCACTTGTGTACAGTGGCTAGGGCTTGCTAGTTCCTTCCCACTGTAGTACATGTAGGGTTTGAATCATCTGTTCCACGGAATCTATGACAGCACAGTAGGGACGGCAAGCCCTAGGTTGTAGGGCTGCTTCTCGCTCTCCCTCGGTCTTACCATGCTTTGTCCGACTCACAATGCAACTTGCCTTTCAGTGGCATGGCATTGCACTTGACGGCCAAGGCAAGAGCCTACGCCGTAAAGCCTTAGATAGAGCAGAAACGGAGTGAGGTCGACAAAAGCAATGAAGCGGTGGCAGGGTTTGAGTTAAGTCTTGCTTTTTGCAGAGAGGCAGCAGAAACCAGCATATTGTTGATAGTATCTATGTCGAGGGAACAGGGGGGGACACTGGTTTGCTAGGGGGGATGAAAGCCGGCTGAGCTTTCCTTAAGTGGAGAATGGCAAGAGAGAAATTTCCAAAAAAACGGAGTGGGGAGCGAGTTCGGCAAAGACAGAAGTGGAAGAGAGGCTGTTTCACACAGATGCAGTCAATCAAGCAACCGCCCCAATCAACCGTTTTCTCAACAGAGCCACCAGCCCAAAAAAGAAAAGCGCGGGGACGCAGTTTCGGTGTCAGAGACTGTTGAAGGCTAGGGCTGTCGTGTTGTTGCCGCTACCGTGCTACTGAGCTGCTGGTTTTGGAGGGAACCCAACGCACAGTCCTTATGAATGTCCAGTGAAATGCAGATCTTCCTGATTGCACGCAGATGTGTGTGTTTGTTGTGATACTTACAATCTTAGTGTTGTACTCGTAAAGAAAGCGACCCTCCAGCGAGGACTCTGTCGACGTACCCGGCAGGCGCCTGGCTGAGAGCTTGTGGGTTTAAAGCCAAGCACTAAGCACGGGATGGCTTCAGGGTTTCCTGCAACGACGCTTGTCGGGTTATGCCATGGGATACGAGCAGCTCATGGTGCCTTAATAAGCCAATCCTAAGCTTGGATCCGGCAACAAGTAGCAACCGCCTGCTTCGGCTGCGAGATGTTTCTCAACCTTGGCGAACTGGAGGTTCTAACCTAAGCCACTCACGCTCGGTCGAGAGCTTGATCTGCTGGACATGCAATTGATTGCCCGGAGCTTGCAGGGAAGTGCAAGGGAATGACTGCCTGCTTCATGTCGCTTACAGACAGAACGAGGAAATGGTTGGTTGATTCCCTTTCCACATCACAAGGCGGTGTCATTATCACACCGGGCGGTCAGTTTCGCACAGGCAGCGGCCCGGCTGTGCGCGAAAACGCAGGCTGGAGGACCAGGCTCGCTGTCTGCCAAGCATCAGGCCATGACAAGAAGTAGCAGTGCCAAGAAAAGGCAGCAAGAGCAGCATCGCCGACCACCCATGTTCACAGTGCTGCTGCCTCTGCTGCCGCTACGACGTCAACGACAACAACGCTCAAGCGTGCCGCGAGCACTTGTGTAATCGCAGTCGTGATTGTGCTGTACTTGGCCGTTTTGATCGTGGTAGTGGTAGTCGTCGTGCCATCCGTGATGGCATGGGTGGTAGGGGTAGTTTGTGCTCCAACTCCGCAGGTTTTAGCTGCTTGCTGCAGGGTGGTGCTTGAGGACGACCTGCTCCCCTGGTGCAGTAGCAGAATAGCACAGCATGCGTGGGCGTGGTTCAGATCTCCAAGCTTCTGAGCACCTGGAGAGTGCAAGATGTTGTGCACACAGCCGTAGATGGCTTATTGAAGATGTGTTAAAAAAGATAAAAATAAAGGTGAGCTGAATGAGTAGACAATGCCTCGTCACTTCTGGCAACACCGGAGAGAGCGTTGACAGGCTTCGAAAGTGGCGTGCCACAGGGGTCCTATGTCGTAGAACCGGCAGTCGCAATAGGAGAGACAGTGAGAAGCGCTCCGAATCGCATGCATAGTGGTGAAGACCCCGGTTCATACCCCTCTTCATAAAGAGCTAGTTAAACAGGAATCCTAATATCTTGTTTAGACTCCTAAAACTACAGACTCGAGGGCAAGGAGCAGTTTCTCAAAGGTGCTGCACGAAGTTCCGAATGCCTGGACCAGGGAGTTTGTTTGACGTAAGGACTGTAGTATGATTAGTATTCCCAGAATTTGTAACTTTAATTTGGAAATGATTTGGGCATGGCCTTGTCGTGCAAAACAAGTCAAAATCTCCAGGCCTAGCAGCTAGGCCCTAGATTTTGCTCCAGAGATTGGCTTTGGTGCGAGTTGCAGATTGAAGCTTTTCAACAACCACTGATGCAATAGGCTTCGTGCAGCTAATTCGTCTGCGGAGGCCTCTCCAGAAGATGCCATGGAAGACTTTCGACCGAAAGATACAGGCCTGGTATGGATAGTTGCCACAGGAGCGTGTAAAGCTTTCGCCAGGCGACAAGAAGCAATTCGAGAACGGCTTGCTGGTGCTAAGTCCGGATAGGCTGGGTTCACAGTCTGCTTTCAGCAGCTCGCCCAGACTTCCCACTACTCAGGTGACCCAGACAACCTGAGTGCGGCTTGCTGCGTGCAAAAGCAACTGGCTTCGGCACGTGCACTGCGAATGCTTCTCCTCGGCCAGCTGTTGACTGCAGACAACTGTGGGGTTTAGGGCGACCTCTGCTCAGGTCGTAAGCGTGGCCGAGATTGATATCAGAGCTGGCGATGTTCAGGTGGCCGCTGCAAGTCAAGAAGAGAGGATATCAAATCGACCGTAGACTCGAACTTAAACATAATACTCTCCAGAATTTTGCCGCCATCACTTGAACCTGGGCCTGGGACTTTACAAGTCTGGCAAAACATGAGTTGCTGGGGCCGATCATGGCTCTCAGCCACAGGTAGAATAGCCTGTATCGCGAGCGCATACAGTAACACAGCAGAGTGGCAAGCTAAAACGACACCGACCACATCGAAGGGGACGACGACAGCAACAGCGACAAATGCCAGAATAGCAGAACGACGGCCACCCAGTTCAGGTGACCTCGCTGCGCTTCCAGAAGAATGGCTTTGATGGCTGGCGTCCTTCCAAGGATGACGGCACTTGCATTCTCAAAGGTAAAACGGCTGATCGGTTACCTTACGATTATTGTCGCTGGTTTGATGATCTCCTTTATTGCCACGGACTGCGGCCCCATGTGCCGCTCTGAAGGTTTACGGCGAGCAGCACGCGCTTAAATCTTTAAAGGCGAAGTTGCAAACCTTTCTCGTACCAGTTCGAAACTGTGCGGGCTTTGTTCTCCCTGCCGTCTGATGCATATGGAGTGTTGCTTGCTGGGTAGCTCAGTGACAGCGTGGTCAACTCAGGAAAAGGGTCATTGAGGTGCCTTCTCCAGGCATTTCATGGTTGAGCTCCGGGCGGCTAAGGCGGCTTAGATTTAGAGGAAACCCACAATTGCAGCACAGTTGCAACCGGGTCCCATAGACCTCAAAAGAAGTGCTTAGGGTTTGGACTTTAACCCCAAAGCTGCGAGGGATTTGGCCGGGCGAGCTCAGTTCAAGCCTGTGGAAAAAGGCCGTTTGGGGTGTTACTTTGCCTGTAAACGACTGGCAAACGGAGCGGCAAAAGCCACAACGCGCAATGTCAAACATAGTGCCAACAAGGGCAATTGCTCGAATCCAAGACCTTCATGTGTCACCTGGCAGGAATGGCTGCGCCCCACCGCCCTTCCGCTCCATGCTAAGCTTTGCCATTGTGAAGGTCGCTCAGGTCATGAGGTAGCCAAAGGGTAGAATTGCCGCGTCAATCGTGCCACTTTCTTGAACCGCCCAAGGTTCAACGCCCTCGTGGATCGGAGCCTATGCAGTGAGAACCAACTCCTGTCAAAGCTGTATGAAAAGTTGCACGACGCACCTTGCCGGATTGAACTCAGTTGCCAGCCACCAAGCCTGTGTGCTGGTGATGCTCACGAGCGAATCTGGCTCAGGCAGCCTTGTCGAAGACATCCTGCCGCCCATTCGGTCGAGTGCAACTTTACGTCACGGGAGCCCCATGTTTGTCCTGTGTCGCCCGTCGTGCAGACAGATAAGCATACGGCCGCCTCGCCGGGGTGGCCCACGTTGAATTCTTCGACTCGCAGTGCAAGCCGAGGTTGGTGCCATGAGGCAGTTCAGCATGCTATTGCCGTTCGCCTTAGCCTTAGCTTTGCTGCAGCTTTGCTGCCCTCGGTAGCCATCGCCCTGCTTGCAGACATGCACGTTGGTTCACATGTGTCGATGCCCGGAGGTCCAACTAAACATCTCTATTGGACCTGAGATTCGGCCCGATCTTTCTCAACTGTTGGAACTCCAGGCAAGAGAGAAAGATGTGGCATCGTATTGCTTGGAGTATGACTACGCATGTGTATGGCTTGTGTTTCAAGACAAGCCAAAATCCAACTATGTTGCTTTCATTATGACGATACATCATGCATTAACCTAAGTATCGCTATGATCCGGCCTTCATGGTCGTACAGCGTATATGATAGTAGCGTATCTGAGTTAGATCTATGATAGTACGAATATTTCAAGTTCATGCAAATGATGCTCGTCGTTCAAATGGGACAATAGGAAGGATATCCGGAAATCGATTATTATGATGATACTAGGAATAATTTTTGAAATAAAAAAGAAAAATGGCAAAAGATATAGTTGATCGATATATTATGTATCCGATAAGATATTAATATGAATTTCTTGATATGAAGGCGAATATCTTGCGATGAGCCTTCTCTTATTTCATTTCAATAAGAAAATATGAGATTCATAAGATTTCGTATTACGGAAGTCAGAATCTTGTAATAAATCAAAATAAATTATAAGAAAATCTTAGATTAACTACTATATGTTTATTAGAAGTTTGCATAACGATATGATATTAATATTTTGTTCTGACTTTTGATTTCAAACAATAGAACCCATTAAATATTATCTAATCGATATATACCTATATTATAAATACCAGAAAGACTAAGAAATTGAAATTAGAAATATATAATCCCAAAGAACGAAAAAATCTCATCGTAATTGAAAGCAATACAATTAAAAAATAATGTCTCTAAGAAACCAAAGAAATAACAGAAATATTCTTGATAAAAAGTGTTATGAAAGTTGTTGGATAATATTTCGTTGATTCTTTTGGTTTTGATTTTCTAGCATATCTCATCTTTGAAACATGATTTCTTCGTCCTTGTGATTTATTGATATGCATAATTGATTATATGATATATATCGGAGAACAGAGAAATATTAAATTCTAGGGGCTAGATTTGCCCTTCGAGCCAATAGATAATATTTAAAATTGATTTTCCTATATTATATTATTAAGATGTATATATATTTGGGAAGATTTCGATTAGGTTTTAGGTATGTAGACAAGGATCATAGAAAGAAAAGAAGAGAATAATGAATAAAAGAAAGAAAAGGAATAAGATATAAATAGAATGAAAGAGAAAAAGAAGAGAAATGAAAGAAGACAGGTTCTTAAATATTTTTCTCTAAAATGAAGAATATTTTTGAGTATATGTCTCAATCTTTTTGTTGTCTCTTTATTATATATATATATATATAAATAGATATGTCATCTATTTCTATCTCTGGCAGTTCTGGATGATTATATATTTTCAAGATATCTTCATTAGATGATTCTGGATTGTTCTTTACTTTAACTGTATTCTCTTATTTATCGATTCTGATTCAATATATATATATATATTTCCTATATGAATTTCTTTAGACCACCATATAGTTTATATATGCTCTCTTTAATGGAAAATTCGATGAATTCGATTCTTCTATTTCAAGGATCCGGGGTTTCGGCTTGAAATATAAGTCCCATATGGGGGAATATATCTTCAAAGATATATGATTGATTACGAAGATTTAGTCTTGTTATATTAAGAATATAGAGGGATATAGTTTTGTATTTGATTAATATTATTTGGGAAATGGGCTAAGATCCATAATTAAAATGAGATAGCCCAAAGAATATATATTATATATTCTGAATTCTGTTAGCATTAATTCTATATGATAGATAGATTTATGCAATATATGATCGAATGAGACCTTCAAATTTCAATCATATATCCAGAATCTAATCCTAAATAAGATACGAGATTAAGATTGCCAATAAGGATTTCTATCCAATTTCAATATTGGATAAGATATATTCGTTCATATAATGAATCAGAATCGTTAAATGAAGAAGCATAATCTAAAAATATATTAAATCGGAATCTCTAAATGAAGAAACGTATCTAAAAAATATCATCAATCGAGATCGTCAAATCAGGAAAAAATGTAAAATATATGATGATCTGGAATCGTCAAATAATGAGGCATATTATCAAAAGAAGAATATATATATATGATTTTATATGTCTACATATATAGTGAGTCAGAATCGTCAAATAAAGAGATATATTTACACTATACATATATTGATGATTCGGAATCGTCAAACAAGGAGATATATTTAAGGTATAAGATGAGCTCGGATCGTTAAATAAAAGATATCCATTAAGATATATATATATATCTATCTACAATGAATCGGGATCGCCAAATACGAAAACGAATTCAAGATCTATATAGATATGTATAAATGAATCGGAATCGCTAAATGAGGGAAATATTTGAGATATATGATGATCCGGAATCAAAGTATACGAAGATGAGATTAAGATATATGATGATCTGAATATTTCCATAGATATAACTGTATATATAAATATATATGATATATTGGAGTCGACAAATGAAGCGACATATTTGAGATATATACCATATTTCGGAATCGTCATCATAAATCTATCAATTTCTTTTTGTGAGACTTTATCCAATTCGCAATCTTTAATTCTTGACGCCATCAACGGACGACGGTCCCCCCCCCCCAACCCTCCAAGCTCGTCGCATTGGTCCCTGCTTGGCAAACGGAACCAACCTCACCGATCTGACCGGGGAGACAAGACATGCCTGCTTGAAGCCGTTTCGGTCAGAGTTCTCGGACAAAAAAGCAACGGTGGCATCTAGAATTTGCATTGTCATGCGACTTGGCGCTGGTAGCACTTTTCAGGTCCTAGGTCCTAGGTTCCAAGTCCAAGAGGTAGGGCCGGGTTCGGACGGCCATCCTGTTTTGAATTATCCCCAATGCCGCCATTGGATGCACGCGAACGTGCAGCCTGCCTCTGCGACACGGCCGAGAAGGCGGTGCCTGGGCAGAGGCCAAGTCTACAGCGGATGCTGCGCTGCTGCTGGCTGAAAGCTACGAGGCGAAAGACCTGTAGGCGACGGCCTTCTACTACAGAGGTGCTGCAGCCGGACAGCTGGGACAAAGGGACGAGGGCTTACAAAATCAACGAATGGCACTGGCTTTGTACCGGGACCTCAAGGATCCTCAGGGCATGTCACGCTCCCTGGAGAACATCGGTATCATGGTGCCAGATGCCTCTGAAGCCTTGAGCTGTGCGGAAGAGAGTGCGGCCATTGCGCATGAGGCGCAACTGACGGAGCAGGAGGCTGTCGCCTTAGTTCGAGCTGGAACTTTGCACGGTCGCCTTGGTCAGCATGACAAAGGACTTGCACTTTTCGATCAGGCTCGGGCCATTATTCTTACTTTGGTCGATGATTATCGGCGCAACTATCGGTTGAACTACTGCCTTGGCCAACTGGGGCGGAACCTCTGCGGAGTTATGAGGCCAAAGTGGCAATTCATCGACAGGGTCCAGGGCATGCAGCTTCTTGATGAGGCTATCGAGTGCGCACGCCGTATTGGCAGCATCCATGCGGAAGAGTACAACCGCACATACAAAGCCCTGGCACTTGAACAAGAAGGCATGATCGTCGCTGCAGTGCAGGAGCTGGTCTTTGTGGAGACCTCGTTCTTCGATCGCTGGAAGGTTATGACCAGTGATGAGCTGAGACGCAGCTTCAATGACACCTGGCTACCCACCACAGTAAGCTGCACACTTCAGCGGGTCCACATCAGCAACAACGACCCTCAGCTTGTGCTGCTCACAGCCGAACGCAGCAGAGCATGGGCTTTCTCAGCACTGCTGTCTGAACAGTATCAAGAGGCTATTCGGCAGCACTGCTTGCAGTGGGAAGATGTGGCATCGTTGGCAGTGAGCCAAAGGGCTGCCATTCTTTACTATTCTGCTATGCAAGATGATGGCTTTTGCGTCTGGGTGGTTGGTAGTGATGGCAACTTCAGAGGCCATTGCCGTCTAGACACACAGCACGCAACCGAAGGCATGGTTGATGTGACCAGCCTTGCAACTCTTGTCCAGATTGCACGCGGTGACACTGATGTTGTTGTGCCTGGGTTGGGTTGTGGCCAAGAGATGAGCGAGGGAGTGGAGTTCAAATCGGACGGCAATGCCCGAGGGCCTCTGAGACAGCGTGTGCGAGGCGCAGACGAACAGTTGGTGAGGTGCTACGACGTGTTTTTCAAACCTATCGCAAATTTGCTACAACCCGAGGCAGCTAAGACGGACCTCTTGATTCTGCCAGACCGTGAGCTTTACATGCTCCCCTTTGCTGGGCTGCGGAATTCCGAGGCTAGTCTGTACCTCATTGAGATCTATACCATGCGCTTCACGCCATCCCTTGCAGCACTCATTGCATTAAGGGAGAGGCAATCTCGTGCCTCCAGCCGTCCTTCAAGAGGTGCAGGGCAGCGTGCCTTGGTCGTTGCAGTGCAGCATTTTCCGCACCCAGTGGAGGGAGAGCAACTTGTAGCCTTGGATGGGGCAGTCGCAGAAGCCACTTCGATCAAGGACGCTTGTGAGAAGAATGGCCTCTCAGTAGACGTGCTGCTTCGGGAGAGTGCGACAAAGGAGGCAGTGCTTGACCACCTACCAGCTGCTAACTCCGTTGTCCATTTCTGCACCCATGGATACCTCGCCAGGCAAGCTTTGGTTTTGCACAGTGAAGCTGGTCAATCCGAGCCCGTGGCTGCCTTGTTGTCTGCAGAGGAAGTCCAGCGCCTACGTTTGTCAGCCAAACTCGGAGTCCTTTCTGCCTGCAACACTGGGCGTGGCACAGTCACTGCTGATGGAGTGGCAGGTCTTTGCCGCAGTTTTCTAGCGGCTGGATTGGATTCGGTGGTTGCGACTTTGTGCAAGGTAGGCGATGCAGCTACCTGTGAATTCATGAAGCAGTTCTATCATGTCTATTTGGGAGGTGGGCATATGAATGTTGCCATGCAGGCAGCGATGTGCAACATGTTGCGGCGTCGTGATGCGGGACGAAGGGTGTTCTATCCTGCGGACTGGGCGCCCTTTGTGTGTTTTGGTGCTATGGGTCTCGAGGGCCAGCTTGTGTGAACCCAGTGTTGCCGAGAAAAACAGCGTGCGTCGTGTTGTAGCCTGGGATTCGCGAGCAATCATTAAGCTCCACGTTTGTTCTCAATCCAGGACTGAAGATGATGATGATGATGAT